TGAGGCGGCCTGTGTGCAGCGCAGTCAGTTGTAGAATATCGTAAACGAGAGATTCAGTTGAGTCTTCCGTGAAAACCAAACTGATTTGGAAATGAGTGTATTTCTCGAAACCAGTCCAATTTGTGTTCAAGTAGAACTTAAGGTTGACGAAAACTCAAGAAGAGCAAAACCGGTCGTGAGCTGTCGGAGAGTTTTCAGCGACCTTGTGAGTAATTTCCTTTATAAAATCTTGAATTGGTTGAAAGTGCACACTGCACTTCCCAGTACATCTGTTCCAGCTCTTATCATCACAGTGTTACGCCATTTTTCTGATTACATGGGGTGTTAGTTTGCATGCTCTCACGAAAATTGCTGTGATGTATATGTATGCTAAAATAACGAGTTTGATGGCGCCAAGAACACTAATGCAGTTGCATTCAGGGCAACCCAAGTTTACACGAGCTTTATAGCGACAATTTTTGCTAATACATTAATACTAATATGGTTATTTCGCTCGAATCGTTTGCTGAAAAGAATGACTGAAAAGGACAGAGTTATTTCAGAAACGTTTGATAATTTAGGTGTGATTCAGAGAATAGCCTGAAAAACGCTTCAGATAATATTAAAACACATCACACGACGTCACAAGCGAGAGACTGAGCTGAGTTCCAAGTGGGTCTCTCGCAAAATCAAATTTGTTCGAAAATGAGTTTTTTCACCCGAAAATCCACCCGAGTTAAGACAGTAGGTTCCAAACCTCGGTTTACAGAATACTGTGGCGGAAGGGAAACATGTTTGAATTGTGGTCACAAGCAAGTGCAAAAGTTGCAAGGGCCTCGTGGTTATCATGTGAAATTCCGAACTTACTCCTGGTCGGCCTTGGGCGAACACTTATCATCGTCGGCCGCGCTTCCGTGACATGCCTGAACACTCATCATCGTGTCCGTGCTTCTGTGACAGGCCTGAATACTGATCATCCTCGGCCGTTGCTGAATCGATTGACTGCCTAACTGGTTTGGGATGCTTGCTTGCCCACTGCGATTTCCCCGGCGATTGAGGGTCTCGGGCAATCTGAGTTTTATTTTAGAAATCTGACCTTTATGACAGGTTGTGCATGCCGGTGATTTCCGGGGTGGTAGATCGATAAAATGACGCAGGAGAGTGACGCTCTCTATGCAATGACATTTTGCGTTGCGCTGAAGCCCTCTGAAATCTCTACATACAGAAACGACCTTGAGTTTGAGATGAGTCACAGATCAACAAAGAAGATTCCTCTCGTACACGTGAGCGTCATGGAAAACAAACTAATTTGAAAAGGTTTTAGTCTCTGGTTGATGGTATCGCCTACGAAAACGATGTTACTGTTCCAACAACCGAACTGCGAACTGTGAAATTTCAAACACACGAGGAAATATGACAAAGTGACAAAGTGGCTGCAATGGCACAAATTGGGCTGGGTATGCGGAAGCCGAAGGAATGTAAATTTGAGTTTATTCGAGTGAAAATTCTAGAACACACGACACTAAGGCCAAGAGTGTAGTACTAGTGTGTATTGATCACTGTCCTGCAAACCTTTCTTCGCTTGTGATAGCCTGTTTATTTGGTACCAAAAAAGAAGGAAAGGTTTGTATAGTTTTCAAAAGGCGATTAGTAGGTGAAACCTGATTGGTGGTTTCCGAGACTGGCTAACTTGTAATTTGATTGGTCCGTTTGGAATTTGGGTTGCGTCGTCGGGTGAGTATCTTGTATCTGGTTGGTTTATTGAAGATCTCAGTTCTAACAGCTCTGTTCCTTTGTTTCATCGTTCTTGTATGTTTCTCTTACTTGGGTGGGTCAAAAATCATCTGATTTGGCATTTAGTTGGTGTCCGTGCATGCGATGAACGTTTTCCATTTTGATCATCCAACGTAGTGTTTTTCACAGTCTCCGCATTCAATTTTATCACCGAAATTGTCCTTCGTTCTTTCAAAGTTCACTTTCAATTTGATGGTACTTTTCAAGGTGTGCTTGTTGGTTGGTGGGCTGGTGTTACGTTGTACCAGCGGCTCATAAAACTTTTGATATCCGTTTCTCTTTGCAATAGGATCCCGTGCTTTCGCGGTGTTTTTCATCCTCTTGAAGGGCGTCTAAATGCGGCTTTACTCATGGTAATCACTGTGGATCTGATCCATAAGAGCCCCTTTCTTGTAGGCCTCCGTTTTTGTCTGTCTGTTCGTCGGTGTGGTGGCGAGCATGTCCAAGAATGCCGGTGTTTCGTATTCTTCTCAATTCGTTGTGGACTGTGTGTTGTCAAAGACGTCTTCCAATAATTGATTTGTCCGCTTTGATGACGAGAAAGGTCACGTGTCGATGACAATGGAGTTATTTCTTGTAGTACTCTCGTCCCAAGTTTTGCATTGCAGTTTCCAAGATGAATCCTGCAATGGGCGATCACCTTGATACATTCCTTTGTATTTTGGTAATAGTCACTAACCACAGATATAAGCAATGGGCTTCCATGAGTCTCCGTCATTTCGTCTCTTTTGACTTGTGATTCATCCACCTTCACAAGCATTGTTTTGAACTGTTGAAAGATTACTGCGATTAACTGGCAAAACGGTTCAACGTTATCCTTAACTATTTGAAGGTTTGTACCTTGGTTTCCACGGAACAAACAGATGGAAAAATCAATAAATGGACACAAACTCCAGGACCAATCCTGATCACGTGAATGAATGTCCAAGCTGTGAATGAAACTTTATGTTAGGAAAACAACTGAAAGTTGCGTCAAACGAGAAGGCATCTTATGAACCGATCAGTAACCACGACGCAACAGAAATGAGAAAAGGACCAATCAAATCAAAGAAGGAAAACTAGTGAAAAATTAATTATCTTTTATCGATTCAACCAAGTAAATGAAGACTAACTGGAATGAAGCATGCATGATGGAAGAAATGAACGAATAAATCGAACGAACAAAGCTAGTAAAATTGAAGCGTTCAACGAACCAACCGCAAGCAAGATACTCAGCCCACGACGCAACCAAAATTCTGATAGGATCAATCAAATTCCGCGCTAGCCAAACTCTAAACCACCAATGAGGTTTTAGTTACAAACCAGTCATTGAAAAACTACATGACCTCAAGCATATGCTCACGAATAAGTCACTCAACCGAGCATTGACAGCATCTCCCAGCCCAATGACGAATAATTTGCAAGCTAGCTGTCCATCTAACAAACAGATCACCCGCTACCTGGTGCATGGCGAACGCTCGGTCATTTTTGGTATCCGCATTCACGAAAGCGAAGTGTAATTGCACCAAACAGTCTTTTCAAACAAACTCGAAAGAACAACCCACACTGTTTATCGCTATAAATAGCGAAATGAACTGGCCCGGGTTCTGGAAAGTTCTGATTCACAATAACTTCTGACGCAAGTATGGATGTGAATCGATTTAATTCTTGACATGAAAGGTCAAAGTTTTAGATATTTTTTTATAAAGAAAAAACGTTTCAATCGGTGCCAGACGAGCTCAGGTGATGTGGTTGAGGAGGTTCCCGACACGGAACTTTGAGTGACGCATAGGTTCGACAGTCCCGAATATCAAAAGGAAGAATAGGGTTCGTAATTCTGCGGTACTATTTACACTAGGGTAAGCAATTGTTCACGATCGTAGAATTCACAGGTCTGTCGCTGACCGGCACAGTGCACTGTCAGCGTCCGCACACCAAACAACGGCGGGCGGAATGATGGCGGCTCAGTAGCGTGGGTTGCAGTCGTTCCTTCCGACGATGGTCTCGTGATTCTCATTGGACGTGCGATCACACGGAACTCAGGAGAAAACAAGTCAAGACAGGAGGCTCAGCAAACGGAACATGAACGCACATGGGTAAGTAGGTCAGCAGCGCGCATTCACACACAGACACACATGTCAATACACAGGTATCGGAAAGGATGGCCTCTGCGGCAAGTTGAGTGGCGGGTACGGATAAGCAAAACTGGAGATCAAAAGTACATAAGCGGAGTAAGCAAATGAATGGGGGAATAATCATAAGGTCAGGTTAGATTCAACAGTGGTGACTCAAAGACTTGTATTACGTACCAACCGTTTGCACCTAGAAATCGATGGATCTCAAACTGGTTCATCTTTACGAAGACAGTTGGAGGTAGATGATACTTTATCTATCGTCTTCCAAACGAATAGGCCGATAAAAAGCTGGCGCGGAATGGTGCCTTGTGCAACAAATGCAGGTCTTTAGACACCACTCACTTGTGGGGCTTACTTCATCCCATCACAAAAGCAGAAACTGAACCAACCTTGTGAGCCGTCGTCCATCGCTGATTGAGGCAAAAGGGAAAGGGACGGAAACGTACCAGCCCTGCCAAAGGGATCGCCTAAAGATCGCGACAATATCAGCCCGACGGAGGATAATTTTTTAGTTAGGACGGAACCAACAATAAATCCCGATGATGTTTAGTTCAGCAAGTAATACTCAACTGTTCAGGATGCAGTTGGTGAGCAGCGGTTTAAAGACTTACGGAAAAGATCAATAATGTTGTTCTGATAGATCGTCTGGACGGATTGCGCACGCGTGGCGCTGTAATGCGTGTGCTGGGGTACACGTTCACAGTGCCCCCGCTTTTGACAGGAGAGATGCTTTTCTGAGGTACTGGATCAGATCCTAACCAGTCCGGTTATCATCCAGGATTACCTGTTTGAAATTATTTTTATTAAGTAGTCACTCAGTGTTTTTATTATTCTGACATGAATACTGTGCATCAAACCCCGTACCTCTGATTTTTTCAAACACAACTTCCAAAGCTTAAACGAGAGAAAACCGCCTGAGTTGCTGCCTATCTGCTAATTTTTTCTTGGGATTTTGGTTCGAAACCAACCACGGTATCTTGACTGCTCCTGTCTAGATTCCGGAAATCTGGCTATCAGTGAGGTCAGCTTCCTGAACGTAACCACTCAATGCCCGAAAACTACCGAGTCTCTCAGCTCCGCTAGACGTGACGTTGACCGACAACACCCCTCAACATGAAGCGCGTCACAGCCTTGTACCAAACCCAGACAGCGCGAGTCAGCGTTGATCAAGGTCAGATCAGACAACCGCAATATGCAACACGTCGCAGCCAGATCGAGTGCGTCAGCATTGGACCAAGTTCAGACAGTGTCCCTCCAATAAATAGCTTGAAACCGTTGTACATTCACACTCGCACGCACTCACGCTCTCGCACTCGCTTGTTTGTAATATAGCGGTTGTGTTCCCTTCTGCGAGTCTTTTCTCTCGGCAACTAGGCACTGGAGCCGGTCAGCAGCAGGTACCTCAGATTGGCGAATCAGTAGATAACGCTGGCAGTATCACAGCCCTCGTGCTTTGGTCGGGTATCAACGCACCTATGCACCAAAAGGTTGCACCCAAGGTAGTTGGTTACAAAATACAGGTGTGTAAATGAGTACTGTTGAACTAAACGGAGTCCCCTAGTGAGGTAAACACAGCTTGGTGATTGGGAGACGTGTCACGTACGCTAAATTATCATCCACGAAAAGAAATTGTTGGCTGACTAAAGGACCAAGACGCGCTAATCCACATGGAAGGCGATTCGAAACGGAATCCATGTGGCTTCTTCTCCGAAGTCTGCGCGATATCTCCACACGTGGTTAAAAATTCTACAGAACCTGTCAGTGTCTGGAAGGACTGCCAGATAACTTTTGCCCTTCGCTTTATGCTAAAATGCAGTTGAGTAGAGCTGGCGAAACAAAGTGTGAATCAGTCTCGCTGATGTCATTTGAGTTCGAGGGATTCGCAGATGTTTTGCCCGTTGAAGTCCAAGGAAACGTAATTCTTGGTTATTTGTAGAAAACCATGTGACTTTCAGATAGTAACCGAGAGATTCATCTGGGTTCCAGGTGGGTCTCCCGTCAAAACCGGATTGGTATGTAGAAGAGTGTACTTTTCGAATTCTGTGCAATTTCGGTTCAATTAGAGCATAAAGTTTGTGGAAACTCGGGGACTGCGCCTACCTGATGAGCGTGGTCGAAGTTTAGTGTTCGTGCAGTGCCTTTTGTCTACAATCGATCGCGAGACAGTTAAGCGCCACTTACTGTGACCCCGTTAAACTCACAATTCCGTTCGAATGAAGCAAACAGGTGTTGCTCCTCGGTGATTAAATATACAACGATTGCGATTACTCAAATCAAGGATACCAGGCAAGAAATTCTTGGGCACTGGTAACTTTTATGCCATGAGGGTGGGTTCAACACCTGTCGAGTACCTGTCAACGGCACTCTGGACCTCCTATCCGGTCTTGAGAAGTTTTGAAGCGATTGGTAGGTCGTACCTTACTCAAAACAACTTTCTAATGTCTGAAACGCCTCGTTCGGTGTCCTTAATAAGCAAAGCAAATTCACTCTCAGATGAATGCAAGTATAACATTTGCCAGGTGGCAGTGGAGAGAGAAAAACCTACTCAAATTCGACCGGGACTTCTGGCAACCGACTACTACATTGTGGGATTATTGTACCAACATCGAATTCAGATGGATTGATTAGCCTTAGGTGGGTTAATCTCTTCCTGATTAGTCCTGCTTTCTGAAGATCTGATGTGAGCTTAACTCCCAACTTCAAGTTTGAAGTTAATCCAGAAATGCTCACGCCTCGAATTGATATAAAATGGGCGCAAAACGATGGACACGTGACCCTTTGATGGCAAATTCACACAGTTTGCTCTGGATCACGTGTTTCACATTGTCGAACGTCAGGAGTAGGATGTTGGGAAAAACAGTAAGGAAGCTAAAAGGAATCTAAGACCAAATGAACCACTTGCCGGCATTTCGGGATTTGATGTCTTATGACACCTATGTTCACCCAGTTTGAAACGTGAACTAGATATCGAGAAATACACTCATTTGCAAATCAATTTGGTTTTCACGACAGACTCAACTGAATCTCTCGTTTATGACATGAGTCTCTCATGGAAACCAAATTGATTTGCAAGTGAGTCTATTTCTCGAAAACAGTCCCACTTGTATTCAAGAAGAACATACGGTTGACGGAAACTCTGGGACTGCGCGCCTACCTGATGAGCCCCAAAAGGGCGAAACCGGTCGTGGGCTGTCGAAGAGTCTTCAGCAACCTTGTGAGTAGTTTCCATTGTGAACTAGTTTGTTTGTTTTGGCTAGAGATCACGAAACGTTCACCCAGTAGCTTCGAATTCGGGCGAAGACTGCCACAAGCCTTGCATTCAGCCGAGATTTCTCCCTGTATTTCAGGTCAGCCGAGCTGTTTCATCCTTATTACGAAGCATCGTCGGATGCGCCTTTCACGAAACTCCAGTCGAACCTTGGCGGCTGGTAGTTTGAACACTTGGGCTTTCGACCAAGATGGGTCGAACAGCACTCTGATTTGGCAGGCTGAGCGAATAACATGATATGCTATTGGATAATCTGACCACATTCTTTCCTGGGCAAATTTGATTGGATCCAATCATCACGTGCTGAACAAGATTCTGATTGGGCTTCCTGCTTCACGTTCGGGTCGAGAGAGAGAGAGGCCCTTCATGGTTTCTTTTACACTGCTGAGCCTTTTGATACACAAATGAGCGATTTTTAGACAAAATGGATATCCTACGGAAGCATGATTTCGAGGGCACAGTGGCTGCGAAACAAACAGAAAATTAGTTACGACGTGGTCAGAAACAGTCACTAGGATTACATTTTGTACTTTTCTCATAAGGAGCCTGAGGTAGCTCAGATTTTAAGGTAGAAACTTACTGATCGAAAGGTCCGTGGTGCGAACCCAAAACCCGGTACCTAGAATAGTCCTGTCTAGGCTTGGCCAACTGACTCGTGCCTCCGTGGAGTGTGCGTTGAGTTTACATGCCTCCAAATGTAACAAATTTGAAGAGATCTTCACTACAACTGCTTGTTACACGCTTGTTGAAATCAATATAGCTGGGACGAGACTCGGTGTATGGCTCAATTTAGTGGGCTCAAGGTGAAAGCAATCGATGGGGCTTAGATGCTAAAGTCTAGACTGGGTAAGATTTAAGTTCCGCGTCCATAACCCGTGTTAGGTTGGCCGCATGAGAACAGGTGGAACGTGAACTTTCAAGACCTCAGCGTGCGTCGATTCAATGAAAGTCCTGCAATGTGCGCGCAGTACACTGAACTAGTTTTTACTATCACGATGCTGTCAAGTGCGATTTACCTGTGTCGAGCATCCCCATGGGCAAAACTAATCTGGCCCGTTTCGAAAGCTTCACCGAGTTCAATGAACCTTGCTTGTGTATTAATGCAGAGTCCACAATCTCTAACAAGAAAGGTGCGTTCCAATTTGGTGAAATGGCTTCACAGACAAGTCCTTGTGTCCTTCGAATAACGGCTATGCGGCCAACGGGATCTGGTGACATAACAAAAATCAAACAGTTTTCTGAAATATCCATCCTAGGTTCTAAGGGAGTCACCCAGGCTATCAGCAAGGAGGTAAAACAAGGCAGTGGTGCGCAGTAAAGACAACTCAGCCGTACTCCAATAGAAGAAGTCGAGCGGCGTTATCAAGGCTTCTCAGAGTCATCAAGTTGGTGAACAGTTCAGCGTAATTACCCTAACATCTGTACCAAAGTTCCAGGGGAAAAATATGGTGGTCCCCGTGTAGTGCATTCAGTTGAACACCTTAACGAGCCAGAGATTCAGGAATGTCTTGTAGAGTTTTCCCTCAGCTAATTTGTGCAGGTGTGGGTGAGACACAGCCCGGCTCAGCAATGTCTTCTATCAAGGTTCTTTCGATGGACAAATATCGGTCTGTCCATTCGCAACTTTTAGTAAAGGCAGCCAATAGCCGTTCACGTGGTTGTTAAAATACGGATGGAGATACCAGAAACGTTGGGTGCGCCGGAGATGAACATGCATGAGGTCTTCACGTGTCAAACTTACGACCAGTCTTTTGGGGACAGTGTGCTTAAATACACGACTGACTGACTAACTGACCGGCTGAATAACTGATTGACTGACTGACTGACTGACTGACTGACTCTGATTTGTTGACTGACTACTTGGTTGTCTAATTGGTCGGTTGAATGACTCATCCACCTGCACGTCCATTGGTGGATCGCTGACTCATCCTGGAGGGTGGTTTGGCTGGCTGTGGCCATTTAGATTCAGATACGATAATACGACTCATTCTGCAGAGACCAACCTCAAGCTCGTTAGTTTTAGCCAAAAATGTTTAGTCATGGGCCTCCCTTCATGGTCGGCCTCCATACCGTCTATTCAAGGGGGAAAGTACATGTTAACTGTGACTTAACACTCAGCTTTGCATTACGTTGAGTATAAATACTTCCAAAAGTAAGCCAGATGTATGAGAAATCACACGTTTGCACCGAAACTCTCCGGTGCTTCCTTCGTTCACGAAAGTGGAGCCAATCAATGCTGATGCGTCAAGAGGAACTGTCAAGATATTTCTTCTTTTATCAGAACCATCAGCACTGTACATCTCGTGTAGAAGAATTGTTGTATTTCCTTATTTCAACGTCTCCGATACTGGAAGTTGCACCTCTACGACTCGCTTGGAAGAATCCAACGCGGATGCACCTGCGCATATTGCGTCCACTTATTAGGTCAATGGAGATTCAGATTATCCTAAGATGGCGACGGTGCTCACTTGCTTCAGAAAGTATGGATTGAAACATCACCCCGTTCCGAGAAACGCACAAGGAGCTGATCACCGAAAGCCATGAATTGAGAACACTCACAAGTCTTTCCCTCCCCAGCTTGTCGGAATATACCATTTCGTTCTGCAAGACATTCTGAAATGAAAAACTGTTCTCCAGTACAGTACTGATTTTGCTATCTGCAAAATCAGTTGTTCAACTTTCAGCATAAATTTCTCTCGAGGTGGCTGTAAGGAGGCTGTGATACATTCGTTGCAATCATCAAAGGGCGGGCCTCGTCAAATCTGCAAAGAAAGTCCTCCCTATGAAAATTCTGCCTCTTGAAAAGCAAATCTCTGAGCTACACACAAACTCGCATGAAATAGTACATATTTGGTTAGCCTAGTTGATACCAACTTTGATGTGTATATACACCGCGGTGAATGGGAGACAGAAAACACCGACCAGGATGAATGAAAACACAAATTTCGCAGCAAATGTTTGATGGCACCAAAATTCGATATTGCTGATCAAGTCAGTGGATTTGGGGAAGAACACGTCAGACGGTAAATCATTCGTAACTCTCTACAATTCAGGTAATACTATGTCGTTAAAAATCGGTCTGAATTCCGACGTCACTTTTTTCCGAAACGCAAATAAGAGACATGACGTCAGTGTTTTCTTCTGTAACATTGTATATTTGCCTGCGTCTAAAGGAAATGCTATTTTTAATAACATTCTGATGTCGAGTTAATTGGAACAGCATCCCACGACTGCTTTTGTTAAAAAAACACGTTAGACCATTTTCGTTTTTCTTCTCCTTGGTGTGTGTGCATAACCGATGTTGGCTCATAGAAACCGGACATACAGGTTTAATTAAAATCTATTCGCAAAAATTCCCTCAGTAGATCTACCCCGTTGACCGGATGGTCTCCTTTTAGTTGGTACTAAAACTTCCACCCTACATCCGTTCAGCAACAGTAATTAACGGCCAGCTTTACTGCTCGGTTTTTCACTAACTGGACAGACAGGTTCATGTGTTTATTATGGTGAGGTGTGTAAGCTCAAATCGTGTGATCCTGAGATTTATTTGATTAAAGCTTTTTCTGCAGAGGTAGGACGGGTCGTCCTGTCGTCTGCACCATTGGTTGACGGATGCTCCCCAATACACTCAGGCCTACCAATCAGTCTTGACTTTTTCAATCAATCAGCGGCCATGACCTTCAGAGCGTGTTCCTATTGGTCAATTCGGTGTCGCTTCGCATGACGAATGGTTGTGCAACTTTGGTCAGCCTAAACACCTTGTCAGTTAGTCATGCTCATTTATTGACTTGTGAATGTTAAAACAGTCCGCTTTCGGGGGATCCTGCCACACGTGTTGAAGATAAATTCATAATCAGTTTACTTCAGTCCGATCTTGGAACCAACGTCCCTTTGGTTCTCTGTCTTGGTGGGGAAGCACTACACTTATGCATGCACTCTCTCAAAACAGATTTGCTGGCATTCAATTCTTTCGTCCGTGTAGCAAAGCCTTTAGCTGTCAAAATCAGCCTAGCAACCAGCGTTTGCGGGCAGTCGATTAAGATGCCGTTTGCAATGAAGCCCCGTACATGTATATCTTCGAATTTTGGGAAAAGGCCCCCAACTATTAGCCACGTGACTTGTCGGGGAGAAACTTGGCCTGAGCACATTTCTCTTCCCTTCTAAATCCCTGTGACCACGAGAAACAAAGCTACGCGGCAATAAGTACTGCAAACAACAGCTGTAATTTGTCGCGGTTTGTACTAAAAAAAGCAAGATCTTATTAAAATTCAACCCATCAAAATAAGTCCACGCTGCTGAATAGTACTGTGACAAGGTGTACCAAGACGTACAACCCTTCGGTATAGGGTCTACTGGCCCGTGATGAGAAGTGAGGTGGTGGATTATGTGTTCTGTAAGTGGTGCCAACTGATGAAAGGGGACACGACAGGGGCAACCCATCCTATGGTACCAACTGTCGTCTCAGAAATCAGCGAGTTATGGTCCGTTGACATCAAGGGCCCCTTTCTGATGGGAATCAGCCGGAATCAGTACATCGTGATAATGCCAGAACACCTGTCGCGGTGGACTGATGCGGCAACCGTGCCAAATCAGGGGCGGTGACGATCAGCGGAGTGGTAATGCAGCACATCGTGACAAACCATGGGGTCCCGAAAATGATCCTAACCGATCGGGGGCCTTGCTTCAAAAGCGAAGAGTTTAGGAATAGCTTGCAGAAGCTGAGTATCAGACAGCTAAGGGCGGCACCGTACCACTCGCAAACAAATGGCCTAATTGAACGTAATAGCCGAACGCTCAGGGAGGTGTCTGGGAGATGATCTTGACAATCACGTTGCTAGCTCATCATGCTTCCATACAGTCATCCAAAGGCACGTCCCCGTTTATGCTGATGTAGGGTCGACATTTGCGCCTTCCGGTTGATCAAAAATTGGGTTGTGGCCGGCAACACGCTGGTCTCCGGAGCAGCAAGAGGGAGAAAGAAGGAAAGCTTGAGTAAACTTAACCGCCGTTCAAGAAAGGATTGGGCAGAAAACGGCAAGGCGAAAAGCACGAACATTCTTCATAGACACGAAGGTCAAGTGGAAGAATTACCAGAATCTTGTAAGGAGTGGATTGGGGTCGCGGAAGCTAGACAGTCGATGGCAAGGGCCGTTTGTAGTCACCGACCGCCGGGGGAACGTCTATACCATTCAAGATGGTCGGGGATCAAAGAGGGTAAATTGGACGCAGCTGCGTAAGTGGCATGCTACACACAAAGAGCGGCCGATTAGACCCAATGCCGAAGCCGACCTGACGAAGGTAAATGAAAATCGATGGCATGCGAACGAGCTTAAAGGGTGGAGGTGTGTAACGGTGATACTAGTGATTAAGGAGGCACGCGAGTAGTATGTTTTCTCGTAAATCCGCTTTGCTTGCGCCTTGAAAAGTGAAATGTATTACGGAACTTGTGGAGTTGCATTTGCTTGGATTTGAGCAACAGTCACTGAATATCTAGGAAAGTTCAGGAAGACGAGTTCAAGAAGACGGATATTTAGTTTTTGTAAACAGGATGCATAGGAGAGTTTTGCCTCCCTGTCCAATAGTTTGTAACTGTTCAGTTGGCATCTTCTAATAAATAACTCCACAGCGAAGGCTGTCTTCCTTTCACCAGCAGCAAGCCTGAACCTTTGAAGATAATTTGCCAGGAAATTTGAGGCAATAAATCCCAGTGGATATTCCCATAGTAACCGTACCTAACCTATGGGTGTATTCCAGGCCGGTTAATTCGAGGACGCGCCATATATACACACGGGGCCGGCTGGATAGTAAGTCGCTAATGGATTCGAGAAGTTGACACTGATTCGGGCCAGAAGGTAGGAGAAGATAAGGGTTACCTTCCACCCGAATGAATTACTCTCAAACAGCAGTGGCACTGTTTAGCTTCATAGAAAAGGGAGAGTACTGGTCCTTCCAAAAGAACTTCACTCTTGCTCGACGCGACAGTTTCAATCGGAACAGACACGAAACCATCCCTTGTGGTACCTAAGACTGCTTCCCTGGTTTCTGGCCCTCAGTTGTGAGCCAATTAAAATGTCACGTGACTAGTCACTTCCACTCCGATTATTGATCGATCGATTGAGTAAGTGAGTGGATGGACGCACACAGACGTCAGTTTGCGTGGCAGAGTAAATAAAACAGTATGCACAAGTCATACGGTTGGTAGTGGAATATTCTGGAAGAAGTTGAAGTCAGCGTGTCAGTGAAATATGCGCCAACGATTTCAACACCGCCCAGCAATTAGAAACTCATACATACAAGGGTGGTGTGAATATGAACAAATATGTACCCCGAAAAAACTCAAAACTGCAACCAAAAGTTTGCCCAGTGGGTTTCAAGCGTGTGTCACGCTACCTGACTGGGATGTCCTGACTGGCGGGTCAATCGATCGTCACAACAAGGACAGTTACTGGGTCGTTGTTCGATGAGTTGTGCACACCAGTCGCATAGCTCGAGCGTGAACACGTTCGTCTGTTCAGACGTGAAAATTCTGATGCGTCCAACATGCGTTGGACGGGTTTCAAATCCCGGTACGGCCATTGGACATGCACTGCTCATGAGCTCCAATGAGAGCGAAACTCGAGTCCAGTGCTTCCTGCCTTTGGTGTGGACTCACCAGAATCGCTACGCCAGAACAGGAGGATGAACGTTCAAATGAGATTGGTGTGAATATGAACGAAATACCTATCCCACAAAACCCCATAACAGAAACCAAGAAAAGTGGATCGTTTGGAAAGAACGGATCTTAAAATGCATCTAGTTCAAATTCTCCTGGCCTGCTTGAAGTCATCGATAACTTGGATCAGAACGAAATGACATCCTTGTGCTTGCCGCCAATCTGTGAAACAGTGCCTGCAGTCAGTGTCCAAAACGGGCTCTCATAGTGAAAAAATATGTAAAATGACTTAGCCGACCTCCTGTGTGTGTGCAATCGCAAGTCAGCAAAAGCACCCAGTACTAATAAATTACTAGTTTCTTTAGCATATTCGAACAAAAATTTGATTTTTCGAGCTGGAATCTGGCGAATCCCACACAGACGTTTGTGCGTTTCAAAATACGCGCTCGGTCTTGCGGAAAGAGAAATGATTTGATTTGAATACTAATGATGTTGACTCCCAATTCGGTTTGGACGGGAGGAACACCAACTAACTAACTACCTACCTACCTACCTACCTACCTACCTACCTACCTACCTACCTACCTACCTACCTACCTACCTACCTACCTACCTACCTACCTACCTACCTACCTACCTACCTACCTACCTACCTACCTACCTACCTACCTACCTACCTACCTACCTACCTACCTACCTACCTACCTACCTACCTACCTACCTACCTACCTACCTACCTACCTACCTACCTACCTACCTACCTACCTACCTACCTACCTACCTACCTACCTACCTACCTACCTACCTACCTACCTACCTACCTACCTACCTACCTACCTACCTACCTACCTACCTACCTACCTACCTACCTACCTACCTACCTACCTACCTACCTACCTACCTACCTACCTACCTACCTACCTACCTACCTACCTACCTACCTACCTACCTACCTACCTACCTACCTACCTACCTACCTACCTACCTACCTACCTACCTACCTACCTACCTACCTACCTACCTACCTACCTACCTACCTACCTAACTAACTAACTAACTAACTAACCAAATAACTAACTTCTACGGAGAGCAACTATGCATGTTATTGTAATGTAATGTGCTACTCATAAGGTTGCTGAAAACACTTAGACAGTCCACGACCGGTTTTGCCCTTCTTGGGGCTCATCAGGCAGGCGCAGTCCCCGGGTTTCCGTCAACCTTATGTTCTACTTGAAACCAAATTGCACGAAATTAGCGAATATACACTCATTTGCAAACTCATTTGGTTTTTCGAGAGACTCACCTGAAACCAAGCTGAATCTTTCGTTTTTGATGTTCTCAGGCAATTGAGTGCGCTATACCAGGCCGTCTCGTGTTTCAGCTGCTACGATATTCGATATCCTGCAAGATGCATTCACAAACGAAACCACTCACAAAGTTGCTGAGAACTTTTCGATGGCCCATAGCTGGTTTCATCCCTCTTGGGGCTCTTCAGATAGAACATCATAAATGAGAGATTCAGCTAGGCTTCAGGCGAGTTTTACACAAAACCAAAATGATGTGCAAATGAGTGCATTTCGCTAATTTCGTGCCTATCTGATGAGCCCCAAGAAGGGCGAAACCGGTCGTGAGCTGTCGAAGAGTTTTCAGCAACCTTGTGAGTAGTTTCCTTTATGAAAATATACTGCCATATCTCGAAGATCGCACCAGCTGAAACATGAAGCAGTCTGGTGCAGCACATTCAGTCGCCTGGAAACATCACGAACGGGAGATTCAACTGAGTTCTAGGTGAGTCTCTCGAAAAACTGAATTAGTTTGCAAATGACTGTATATTCGCTAATTTCGTGCAATTTGGTTTCAAGTAGAACACAATGGGTTGACGGAAATTCGGGGACTGCGTCTACATGATCAGTTCAAAGTGGAAAAATGAAACCGGTGGTGAACTGTCGAACAATGTTCAGTAAACTTATGAGCAATCAATACAATGAAACTAACAAAATGAACTTGGTGCTTGAAGATTACTCTAGTTCAGCAGTGCTTGCCACGCTTCTAGCCTCCGCGTGAACTGAGTGGGAAGTATGACGAATGTCAGATTGAGTTGAAAGTCAACAACAAATATTTTGTCCCTTAAACGAAAGTAACCTGTTTCAGCCTTACTGGGACTCATCAGCAATGCACAGCGGACGAAACGCAAAGAAGTTTGGAACCTGCGACTTCCTGACTAGCATCTTAGCGTTCGGCTACAGCGGCTGATTAACCCTGCGATTAGATCTTCTCTCGACAGGATATGGTTTCACTCGTCCATCAGCCGTAGCTTCCACGTCACACGTTCAAAATTCTAACCTGGTATTCACGGGTCTGAAACTATCTGGAATATCGTGAGACGCGTATTGCTGATTACTTTCATGAAACAGCTGCCCAATGCTTCTCGGTTATTTAGCGGAGATCGGCGTCACATATCTGTTAGATTCTTAGGGGCCCTCATCCCCCTCACGGTCCCTAGGTCTCTGGCACTGTCCGCAGTAGTCAAAAGTACAAAACTGCGGTTCGGTCTTCTTGCCGCGTCCACTCAGCTGCACATTCGGATATCTATACTATCGCCCAATCCGACGCGTAGTTCAGGGCTGGATGAAAAGAACCTTGCATGGTTTCCTCTTGAATAGACCCTCCCGCCGTTTTGGATGTCTTGTATGTAAGGGGGCAATGTCGTCACATCACCACATCCCCACACCACACGCAAACAGAATGGAGTATTTTTTTGTTCTTGACGGACTACACTACTACTTATAAGGTGGATAGAAACTCTGTGACAGTTTTTAGCCACCCAGTCATCACATACTTGCCTGTTCAGCTCACAGTCGCTCACTGGATCACGAGACTCGTCTTTTTTCATACTTGCAAACCGCGTCACATCAAGGTGACTCATCAGACGTCGATTGTCTGTACCGTCTGGTGAGCGTAGCCACTACTCATGTGCTGACGTCCCCACGTACACGCAAACGGACCTACATATTGGGAAACCGAACCCAGTCAGGACACACACAGACTCGCGCGCGCGCGCAGGGAGCAAGGAGTCAGTCCACGGACAACTATGGAATACGTGTAGCAGCCAACCTGCGGAGGGAAGACGTTCTCGCTGTCCGGACTTCCACCAAGGGACTCTCGCATACGATAAGTTCCTTTTTTGACTTGCTCCCATTTCGCACTGTATTTATTTTCATATGTGTTGCAACCCACTACTGGCAACCATGCTAAAAACTTTTATTAGTGCATACACCTTCTGATTTGTGCTATGACCATCATCGAATATGCACTAATAAGTTCATGAACGGGCTCACCCAATTTACAAAGTCCCCGAGTTTCTGTTCGACTTTCTATTCTACACGAACATGTAGCGCAGTTGGTGAGCTACACACAGTTGCCAGTTGACTTGGTGTTTTGACTTGAGCTCACCTGGTTCACAAACAAATCTTTCGTTTGTGAGGTATCCAGTGCGCACACAGATGTGTGTCTAACTAGCATCTTCCGCTTTAGTCGGTCTCCCTTATCGATCAGCATGTCCAACTTTGGAAAGTGAGGACAAGACGAGTTTGTGTAGAAAAAATCTGGATCTCTGACGAGTAGAGCGTCTCATGTCACCCTCTCATCGAGTTCCCCCCCCCCCCCCCTTGGCGATCACATGATCAACAGCCCCTTGATCTACAATCTGAAACGTTTAAAAGTACACCCATCACAAATCTTCGGGTTGATTCAAACGCATAAATCTCGGTTGCGAATGTATTGTGTGGCCGCGAGCGGCCGTTCAGTTCACAGATGCAGTACAATCCATCCTTCAGTCATAAAGTCCTCATCACATGTTCCGCCGTTGAATAGCTTCTCGAGTGATGACTTCTCATATGAACGGTTCATTTTCCTTGCCTGATTTAATTATAGTGCGATTGATAATAGGGAGAGATTTTGTGACTTTCGTTTTCACTGCAAGCAAAGCCAATCAAAGGAAACCAGCTGAGAGGCATTACACAAATTCGCCCCCTAATTTGAAAAATCAGCGGCGCCTTTCTGACGAATCTGTGGAAAGATTCCAGCACCCATTCCCCTTGTTAGTATTCAAAGGCCGCACTGTCCGATAGTTGAGTCCCTGTAGAAAGTGGGGTATTCCCGGGCGTGCTTTGCAAGCGCAATTCGTCCTGGTGATCTAGAATACAAAACTATTTTCAAGCACCGTAGCATCGTTGAACAAAAGGACTATCGATCCACGTGAAACTGAGATGTGACGGTCTGAGAACAGTTTTAACTGACAAGAGAATGCTTAGGGATGGAACACTACTTTGGAAATGTCTCCTCTGATGAATGTTCCATTGATCGAAGGCACATACGTCACCTTTACGACTTCAATTTCGTTTCAGGATCGCGGGATAAAGGTGACTGGACGACAAAGCGACGTGAGTTGTTATCACCTGCATTAGCAGTCGGTTCTACGGAGCTCGAAGGTAGAAACAATTGGTAAGTTTGGATCTTGCACTCAGCAATGTTCCGAAAACGATGGCGTCCTTCCACCGGTAAGAACGACACTCGAATGGTCAGGTAAGATATTTTACTCGCTCGATAATGAACTTAATCAGACGAAGCACTTAAAAACAAACTGACTGTAGAAAAATATTGCTGCTTGTCAAAAGATTGAATTTCTCGCTGACATTTGAAGTCAAACAGACGTAAATCCATCAAATTAGTTTTCGAATTCTTCGCTGTCTATTTTGGCACCAGCAGACACGAGCGCGTTGACCAGACAGTCACGTGATAGGCTAGTGATTACGAAATGTCAGGGTGAGAGAGAGAGAGAGAGCGCTGATCAAACAAATGATTGATGTCACAGTGGGGCAGACTAACAAACAGTGCACTGGAAATCCGTTAAATATAAATTTCAGATCACTTGGATCAGAAATGTAAAGAGACAAGTGATCTGTGCGGAAACGAGCAGAGTTGCTCACATACACCTTGCATGAGTCGAAATGCGGAACAAAAGTGCGGGTTCTCGTTGCGTGCTTCTGGCGATAAGTAAATATAAAAAACCGGCCATGGGCTGTCGAACAGTTTTCAGCAACCTTGTGAGTAGTTTCCTTTATGAAAATACATACTGTGATATCTCGAATCATGAGGCGGCCTGTGTGCAGCACATTCAGTTGTAGATTCAGTTGAATCTCTCGTGAAAACCAAATTTGTTTGCAAATAAGTGTATTTCTGGAAAACAGTTCAATTTGGCTCCAAGAAGAACATGAAATTGACGGGAACTCGGGGTCTGCGCCTACCTGATGAGCCCCAAGAAGGCCGAAACCAGTCGTGGGCTGTCGAAGAATTTTCAGCAACCATGTGAGTGGTTTCCTTCATGAAAATAGAAAACTAGTGCAGAGGAACAGTTTTCCTCTTCTATGCTTTTAATCAATCAAATTGATCAGAGTTCCTAATCAGCCTAACGAATACATAGGTTTACATATTTCTGTGGCATTGGCCGTAAGTTTTCTCTAGTTCAGTCTCTAATGTGGCTAGTTAGGCGGTATCAGAATCGTAAATAGATCCCGAATGTGTTCATTCTGCGAAAGGGCCACGGGTGATTTCATCAATCGCATTGCAGAAACTTTTCGTGTGAGACACATGGTTCGTGTCGATTGATTCAGTTAGTTATGCGGAAAGCCGGTCAACGTGCATATTTGCCCAGTCAAGAAGTTAGATAGTTGGGTAGTTAGTTTGTTAGTTGGTCCGTTAGTTATTAAGTTATTTATTTATCTATTTATTTATTTATTTAGTTGGTCAGTTGGCTAGTTAGTTAGTTAGTTAGTTAGTTAGTTAGTTAGTTAGTTAGTTAGTTAGTTAGTTAGTTAGTTAGTTAGTTAGTTAGTTAGTTAGTTAGTTAGTTAGTTAGTTAGTTAGTTAGTTAGTTAGTTAGTTAGTTAGTTAGTTAGTTAGTTAGTTAGTTAGTTAGTTAGTTAGTTAGTTAGTTAGTTAGTTAGTTAGTTAGTTAGTTAGTTAGTTAGTTAGTTAGTTAGTTAGTTAGTTAGTTAGTTAGTTAGTTAGTTAGTTAGTTAGTTAGTTAGTTAGTTAGTTAGTTAGTTAGTTAGTTAGTTAGTTAGTTAGTTAGTTAGTTAGTTAGTTAGTTAGTTAGTTAGTTAGTTAGTTAGTTAGTTAGTTAGTTAGTTAGTTAGTTAGTTAGTTAGTTAGTTAGTTAGTTAGTTAGTTAGTTAGTTAGTTAGTTAGTTAGTTAGTTAGTTAGTTAGTTAGTTAGTTAGTTAGTTAGTTAGTTAGTTAGTTAGTTAGTTAGTTAGTTAGTTAGTTAGTTAGTTAGTTAGTTAGTTAGTTAGTTAGTTAGTTAGTTAGTTAGTTAGTTAGTTAGTTAGTTAGTTAGTTAGTTAGTTAGTTAGTTAGTGTGCCTCCCGTCCAGACCAAATTGGGAATCAACATCGTTAGTATTCAACTCAAATCATTTCTCCGAATTTGACTCCATAATAGACAGTGACGTTTTATTGCGGGATATCCAGCTACATAGCACATATCTTGCTGTACGTAGGACTCTTTTGTGTACAATTTCTTTGAAGAATATTTTTTTATATTGACTGAGAGAACTAGTTGAATGGGGTGTGTATATTGACCTTGAGCTTTTGATAGACGCGGACACACTCGGTCTTTAGGGAGTTCTCTCTCCACAATTGGGTACTTCGATGCTGACCAGCCAATGACATCGCACGCTATTTCTTCACGCTATTTCTACATGGACTATACTTCTATGGTGTACTGGC